ACAAATAAACAAAACATCTAAACCTTATTAAGTTCAGGTTATTTTTAGTTATTAAGGTAGAGCAACTTTAATATAATTTGTAAAGTAATAAAGTTTGTTATATATTTTTATTTGTTCACCTGACAATTGACTGGCCTGTTGGTTTATATCCAGTGCCACTAACTTAAAAAAAAAAAAAAAAAAAAAAAAAAAAAAAAAAATATATTTATTTAATAATAATATGCAGAACCAACTCTCCACATCAGACCCCTTATAACAACTTATTTCCTCAAATTTGGTATAATCGACCTAAATTATTTTGTAAAATAAAAGTTTCGAACTTACTAGTTCCATACTTTATTTTATAAAATAATTTATGTGGAAATAATTTAAAATTTAATTTAAAACTACTACCTACTCCTAAAAATTACAATTTGAATTTACCGCCATCTGTCAATTGTCATTTTAGTTCCAGCTCCAAACACAAGGTGGCGCTAATTTGGTTTAAAAGTTTAACATTGGCGTGGGGTCTCTAGAAGATACATGCTTTGTGGCTCTGATCGTATGGTAGGTTGGGGGTGTCTTTTTTTCGGTTTACGGAATAGTATGAAGCACCAAAGGCGCCAGGGGTCTATAGAGACCTATATGTTCATAAGCTTTTTGATTAAGCCCATGCAAGACTTGGTCAAAGACTTCTTGAATATCAAGAAGAATGACTGAAGAGACAAGGAGAGAGTTTACTGCCGTGGTCGCACTTCTGTAAACCGCAAAAGTCCCAGATTCTATCTTTTAGCAGAAGTTTAATTTTATTTAGTAATTATATGAGGAAGATAGGATGGTATATCTAAGGCTTTGGGGCTCTTAGCCTGTTTTGGAAATCAGAATGGTGTTGGCGGATTTCCAGGCGTGGGAAGTAGGAAAAGGAGAGGCAGGTGTTCTTGAGAAGGGGAAGGATAAGAAACATGGTTCCAGGAAGACGTTTTAGCGTTCTACCGTGTATGAAAGTGGGTCCAGAGGTCTTGGAGGGCGAATGGAGCAGTAAGAGGGTTTCGACATTCAATGGTGGGACTGGAGTGGCAAGTGTCTAAAACGGTTGTCAAAGTAGATATCAGGAGTTCTGAATATGGTTTCAAAATGTATCTTGAGCTAAAGCTTTCTCATCAGGAGAAGCAGGGCCGCTGAGAGCCAGACCGGGCCCCAGGACAATTCTCCAGATCGGGCCCCGCGACAATTTTATACAAAAGGTCTTCAAGCAAAAATTTATCCTCTACTTGAATCTCTCTAAAAAAAAGGCCTTTAATAAGAACTTCCCCCTCTTCTGTCGTTGAACTTCTGAAAGTAACAAACACCACCGCTGCCGGGCCCCTATTTGAGCCCGGGCCCCGGGAATTAGTCCCGGCTGTCCCCCCCTCTAGTCTGCTCTGAGGAGAAGTGTATATTTTATTGTCGATTTCGATGTGGGATATGTTTTGAATTTTTGACAAGTGATGATTCGCAATTAGTCTCAATATGATCAAAATTTAAGGTGGTATTGTTGATGGTTTTATTCGATTTTGATGCCAGAGTCGTGGGTATATACAATCGGCGTTTCTGAAGAATTAGATTTTGGAATAAATTGAATGTGACATGTTGATGTTGATTGAGGCGTAGGTGGTAGTGGTTTGGACTTTGGTTACGAAGGAATCGATGCCCTGTGGGAAGTGGTGCAAGTTCAGGGATGTTTGTAGAGATTTTAAGTAATTGCCCTTGTGGGCATTTTTTATTAAGTAGTTTTATTCCGTTTGTCAAAAATTAGACTCATAGTAGGTACATTCTTTAGAAGTACGACAAAGATGATGTAGTGTATACGTTCTAGGATATGAATAATAACATGCCTTTTTTATGGTAGGTTCATAAAACACTTGCTGCACACTTATAGCAAAATCTTATCGACAAGTCTCTTCTATAATTATTTTTAAGTTACAGATTTTACCTTTTAGTGTTTACAGTAGAGATAATTTTTAATATTTTAATACATTACATACATAATACCTACGTAAAGGTATAGGTATTTTAACCAATTTGAGTAAATATAATAGTTTACACTTTAAATGATGAATGTATTCATTCTTTAACCTGACTCAAAGTGGCATTCTAGAAGAAAAAGTTTACAGAACATTTTACTGTTTTTTTCTAAGCCAAATAAAGTTACTGATACATAGGTACTTACGAAAAGATTGAAACTCCTTAACATAAATATATCAGTTTCATTTTTTATAAGCGTTTCTACAGATTCATTGTGAGTGTAGGTTTGTACGAAAGCCTTAGAAGCATTTAAATGTTCCGTCCAGAGTTCGAAAATTGTGATGGCTTCGCCCTTCCAGGTATCATTTTCTTTATAAATAAGAGGATAAATTTCCATTATTGCTGCTCGGATCGGTTCCAAATGAAAATTTTTTAGTTTATTCTGGATAATCTGCGTACATAAATCTTTTTGTGGTACCATAATAATTTTCTTTTTCGAAAAGTGATTGTATGTGTATATTTTGGGTTTATTTTCTAAAATAATTAATAAAAAGTGAATGATTTTGTTATTCCAAATCAATTCCAGGATTTCTGAACGAACATAATTCATTTTTTGATTTAATAAAAAATAGAATTTTGTATTAGTCCACCAAGTTCTACTATTTGTCATATCTTTTAGATTTTTTGTTAAAGAATCTAAATGTGATACAAACATGACAATTTGTTCAAACGGAGATATCGAATCGGATTCAAATTTCAGTATATTTGTAGTTACTACAGAAGTACAATTCGTGAATATTTTTATAAATTCATTTTCAATTACTTTGATCTCAAAATTATTATGCAAATTTGTTAAAAACAAGCAAGAATGTTGACTAAAAATTGGACATTCATTTAATGTTGTGCCAATTTCTTTAGACCAGTATACAATCAAAGATTCATTGTAAAATGTATGACAAAATATTAATTGAAAATTGATTGTTAAATAGATAACTTGGCGAAGTAGCTTCATCTTTTTAAATGGTCTGAAAGTGGAACTGCTACAATTTTATAATCGAAAGCTGTCGTTAAAATGTCATCATTCCGTTTCTAATTATTGATAAAAGGACTTTTAGTTTGATGAGTTTCTTTATACTAATTTTTATCTTCTTTTTTTTTTTTTTTGATAAAAGATAAATAATGAAACGATTTAACAAAATATTTTAATTGGGAAAAAGGGATTAAGTTACTAACTGCCGTCGAAATAATATAAGGTCCAATTTCAGGTAACAAAAAAAGCAGTCAAAGGATTAAGGGATTAATGTAGGTAATTAGATACGATTAGTATGTCTACCTGTAGTAAAATTATTCACAACCATAAACCCCTTGCTTGTTTTTAGCAAGTGTGGGTCCAGGGAGGGAACCATGGCTAGCTCACCTCTCAAGATTAAAATTCTTAGAGTCAATTTGCCTTTTATTGAAGAAAATATGATAAATAAGGATTTACCAATGGCAATGTCCTCCTCTGAAAATTCGGCTGGAGCCTTGGTTGGCTACAACACTTTTAGAACACCATTATATTCCATGGAGATCTCTACCGCAGTGGCGACTCGTGATAATACGAGATGGTAGTGCCAGATTTTTAACAAATGTGAAAACCCCGCCGGAGTCGCCCTATGTCGGAGGCGAAACATTTTTGGGGTACCACGCCCAAATTTTTACCCAAAAGTCGTTTATAAAACTGGCTTTGGGCAAAAATTTATCACGGTAATGTCACAATAGATATAAAATTTTATTTAAAAAAATTAATGAAGGACGGCAGATCTGAAAATATGGCGGACTTACAACACTAAACCCAAATCCATACTATGTTCAAAAACTCGATAATCTGACACCACGAACTATATTCAATCAAAAGGAACAGAATATTTCATGGTTATTAAAAAAAAAAGTAAAAATTGACAATCTGCAAGTTTGTAAGATGTTCTAACCTCCTTAAGGGTGGATTTGGGTTTAGTGTTTTTGGGGGTAATAAACCACAATAAATTGCGAATTTGCAGATATTTTTTGGAATACGAAAACATGATACTTGCATCTGTAATTCCGCCATATTTGCAGATCTGCAAAGTTGCAGACGTTCTGTAATCTCACCCTTGAACTTTATAATTTTTCATTTCTTATGTTAACAGAATTTCTTTCTGTCAATTGTTAAAATTCACTTTGTCTGTGTCACTTGTCTAATGTATCAGTTGCTGTTCATTTGCATAATAAAAATGAAGCTTTTAAAAAGTTGAATTTTCTTCTTTAGGGGTACAACTACTGTGTATATATTTTTAAATTAAAGGGAGTAAAACAGTATCAAGGAAGTCAAATGAAAATTCTGTACATTCGAAATAAACTATATCATCAACCTATAAAGACTTATTGTTTTTATATAATATAGGACAAAAAAATGTCTACAGTTGTTATAGCTAATTAACGATGGCTATTTTTGGTTCTAGTCACAGAATTGAAATAAGGAGAATGGATTTGACAGTTTACAAAAACGTTCCTACAAGGGGAATAAAATTGAGGTTTTTGAGTTTGCTTAGTAGGTGCCAAACAGGGTCATAATTTTAAAAAATATATATAACAATGTTTTCAGAAAAAAATTAACGGCGGGTTAAACAATACGCGGTTAATCGTCCCCAAAATTGTTTTTAAATGAATAAAATTAACATTTATTTTGAAATCACTTTCACGAATGACAATTGACATGTCTGACAGATACTCACTGCGCAAACTCAAACCTCAATTATGAATCTCCTTAACGGAACGTAAATTTTGAGCAAGAATTGACATAAAATCAATTCTCTCAATTTCAGTTCTGTGGTTCCAGTATTTATAAATCAAAAATCATAGGAACTTATAGGCAGTGTATTTATTCAGTCGTTTACATTTTATTATATAATAATATATAAATAAATAATACTCAAAAGAACATGTAAAAAAATCAGTCTTCACTTTAATATGTAAGCACTATTTAAGACAATTTTAGATTATTCAAATCTATCGTCAAAATAATGTTCAACAATGGCAATCAATCTTTTCCTGTACAAATCTAGATTTTTTATCGAAATTGTTTTCGATAAAACGTCTGCGATATTATTTCCATCAGCTAAGTCATCTAGATTTGGAGCATCGTCATCGTCAAAATAATTAAAATCCATATAACAACAAGCATAAATGAAACCATAGAACGAGTACTTCTTCCAATGGTCCATTAGAGTCGAAAAAGGAAATACATCGTCAGCGTTACAGCCTAATTTTGTTAGAAAACTCGAACATTGGTCGTGGTAGAATTTTAGTAAATATTTTTGTTCGGATAGTTCTTTTTTTGAGCCTACTGAGTAGAAAAAGTAGCTTAGATCGATAGCTGGTGAGTGTATCTTAACTGCTTGCCAATCCAATATGGCTACTTCAATTGGGGTTTCTTTGTCAGCTTTCTGGAAATAAAAATACAATTTTATTTAAATGTAAAAATTTGATATTGTTTTAGTTTTTTAGATTAGTTAGTATTACTCCATACTCTCTACTCTACAGGATGTTTCAGAAAACATGTGCCAAAAAGTAAAATAAATAGTTCAACATTCATCCGCAGATGCTTTGTTTCAAAAGTAAACTATGGTAAAAATTTAAAATTTTTTTCGTTTTTCAAAATATTTCCGTATCGATTTAAATGAAATTTCGGTTGTACAATGTACCTAAACATATTTTAGCAATAAGAATATGTTAATTGGTTCATCATGGGCGAGCGCTTTAATAATTTTTGCTTTTTCTAAATAACTAATAAAACACACAAATCGCAGTGCGTTACCGTCAAATGGGGTAACTTCGGACAAATTTTAAAGTTTTTTTTTAGGTTAGAAAAAAGTAGGAGGTGAAAAAAATCTGAAAAAATTCATTTATGTTGTTCAATATTTTCTTTATTTGTGTCCAGAAACGCTCTCTAAAGAATGAAACCACAAAATCTAGAGCTGAATTTATGACGATTTACCTTAATCCAAAAAATGCTTCCTAAGGGAGCTAGAGCTCTTTGAAGATAGCGCTCTAAAATCGGTTTAATTGAAATACCTTCGAAACAAATTTTTATTAAATGATATTATTCTGTACATTTATTTATTTGAGTCTAACCAATAAAATAAGATTTTTTTAATGTAGTCATAAGCGGCTCATTTGGATGGGGTATTGGATATTTTTATTCCGTGGGTGGGGTATTGGATATTTTTATTCAATTTTTTTTTGTCTCTCGAAAAGTCGCCATTTTGAAATAAAATTTAAAAAATTTCGTAATTTTCACACAAAATGTGGTGCTCTTATCTGAAGACTCCATGACCAACTGTTTTCGAGAAAAATCAACTTAAACTTTTCATGTTTTTACATACGTTTTCATTGATTAACAAATAAATTTCAAAACTATGATAAGGTGGCCATGGAAAATAAACCAAATACCTAAGAATTGTATAAATACCTTTTTTCTACGTTCATGCAAAAAACAAAACTTTATTGAACTATATTTAGTAAAAAAACTGTTTTTTTATTGCACTAGTGCAATAAAAATTTATTGCACTCATCTGTCATTTTACTACCGCGTTTTATAATCATGACAAACATAAATATTTAAATCAACGCCAAATATTTAGTCCATTTTCATTTTCTGTGTTACGTTTTAAAAACAATTGCATATTTTATATTATTTTCAATCATTTAATAAATAAATTAATAAAAAAATATCATTACAAATTATGAACACAAACGTAAATAAATGCCTCAAACAAAGGTACATGATCACGGCTACTATGATTTGGATAATAGAACTGCAGTTCTATAAAACATTTTTTGGTTTTTGCATGAACGTAGAAAAAATATTGTATGCAACTCGTGCAAAAAGTATTTATTGCACTCGACGTCTTGTGACAATATCACGTCGCGTGCAATAAACACTTACTTTTTGCACTTGTTGCATAAATAACTATTAAACTGTTTTTATCCAAACTTTAGGTAGATACTCAAAAAAATGATTTCAATTAATGGATGTGCTTAACTGAAGTAAAAAAATAAATTCATGTAAAAATTAAAGTTCCTGTCGATACAATTTGTTTAAAAAAAAATAATAACGAAATGATAACTGAAAGTATTAAACACAAAATTAAATATAAAGCAGATGCTCCACATGACGACCATCCGTTTCTATGCACAAATTTATTCGTTTCCGTAAAGGTCGCCGAATTCTTGCAAAAATTCCCATATTATTTCTAAATTCGTTGCAAGCATTCTGAATTCGTCTCCAAAGGTGATTCCGTGATTCAATTGGTTGCGAATAAACCATTGATTTGAGTTATATTTATACACAAAAATCGCATGGATTTAAATCCGGAGACCTCACTGGCCAAGCAATGGGACCGCCTCTTCCTATCCATCGGTCTCGGTAATTATTGTTTAAAAACTCACGAACATTCCTCCAAAAGTGAGCTGGACAACCATCATGTAAATACCACAAGTTCTGTCGAATATTTAAATTAATGTCATCCAATAAATCTGGTAAAGTATGTTGTAAAAAGTCGAAATAATTCTCACCATTTAAACGATTGGGCAATTCTGCAGGGCCAAGCAGATTGTCATCAAGGACACCTATCCATACATTGATGCTAAATCTTTCCCGATGTTTAGTTTCTCTTATAACATGAGTATTATCACCAACATAAGAGTAGTAATGTGCATTATGCATATTAAAAATTCCATCTCAAGTAGCTTCATCAGAAAACAAAATGTTTAAAAAGGAGTGATGATTTTGATTTTCTTGCATTCAATAGAAAAGGCCACAACACGGGCAGGAAAATCACCATTATTTTCTAAAATGAAATACAATAAGTAATACAAAACTTACTTACGGCACAGTTTATAGCTTAAAAGAATCAGTTCGCTCACTCGGACTAATTGGATGTTCCAAAATAACATCCACTCCAGGGATACAAATTCAGGATGCGCAGAAGACTGCTGTTTGAATATAGGCGGTTGTCATATATTGTATTAGGCATTCCAAACAAATGAACTGCCAGTGGGAAGATTTGATATATCCAAGGGTTGCGACATACGATATATTCTGTTTACAATACGTAAAATCATGAATAATGGATTACATTTAAATATTTTATGTCAAACACAATAAAAATAAGATACATTTTTTCATAAATTGGCAGGCTTTGTGACTATTATTTCGAATAAAAAAACACGTTTAAGATGCAAGACTATGTCTCTACCCCCTTAGATATACCAAACCTTCTCACTGACATCTATTGTTTGACAGGTCGTTGGAATGCTTAATTAGTAATAGTGAGAGCCCACTGCAAATTACGACTGCCATCTGATAACAAAATGAAATATGCTCCAAAGACATGTAACAACATTGTACTTTACCAAATTGCACCTGTGCCAATCTGTAATCCAGAGCAAAGTGGTTAAAAAAAATTATTTTATATTCAAAAAATTACATAAGACATGACAGCGATACTGGTGTTTTCTCTGAAAATTACAATCCTCATTCATTGTGAACCTATCTTTTAAACCTGAATTATTAATATTTTTACCTAACTTTGGCAGATATATTCAATAATAATTATAAACTCTTGTTAGACAATTCTTTTAAATCATAATCATGATAGTTTTTTTGTCGTTTCTATGACAACCTGTAAAAATGAATCACAACAATAGGCATACAAATAAATTATTAAATCAGCAAAAATTGATTCATATTTTTAATGATTTTTACCTAATGATCGTGTGTAGATGTTTTTGTGCGATGTTAAGAGGAAGAAAATGTTTACCGTTAACGATATATATCAAGATATATTTGAATATGTTATTATCTGGAAAACTTTAAGGGCAAAAACAATTAGCGCTGTCATGCCTTATGTGATTTTTTTAATATAAAATATTTTTTTTAAACACTTTGCTCAGAATTGGGATTGTCACAGGTGCCATTCGGTAAAGTACAATGTTTTTACAAGCTTTCGGGGTATATTTTATTTCGTTATCAGATGGCGGTAAAAATTTACAGTTGGCTCTTGGGCTATTATGATTTGATTATGTATGCGCCAGGGATACAAATCCGAGTTGCGCAATGTATAAACTGGAACATTGAGATCAAAAGTGCCGACGCAGAGTGAGCGAACTGATTCTTTTAAGCTATAAACTGTGCTTACGGTATGAAACACCAGTCATTTGACATTTATGTAATTGTTATTTTGTCTAATTAATTTAGACATTTATTTGTTTGTCAATGGAAGCATGAAGAGTTTAAATCGATTTTTCTCGAAAACGGATGGTCATGGAGACTTCAGACAAAAGTATCATTTTTGTGCTAAAATAACGAAACTTTTTAAATATGATTTCAAAATGGCGAAAAAAATAAATAAAAATATCCAATACCCCACCCAAATGAGCCGCTAATGACTACATTAAAAAAAATCTTATTTACGAAATTTGATTGGTTAGATTCAAATAAATAAATATACAGAATAATATCATTTAATAAATATCCGTTTTGAAGGTATTTCAATTAAACCGATTTTAGAGCGCTATTTTCGTAGAGCTCTACCTCCCTTTGAAAGCATTTTTGGATTAAAGTAATTTAGGCTAATTCGTCATAAAATCAGCTCAAGATTTCGTGGTTTCATTCTTTGAAGAGCTTTTCTGGACACCCTGTATATTATACAAAAAGTTGTAAAAAGTAAGGCAAGTATTTTTTATTTAAATCAAACGCTCTTACAAGTAGTAGGTACATTTTACTAGACTATTTACGTTTAATAATTTAATATTCAGTTGTAGCAAGTTAACGAGCTATAATAATGATTTTTTTTCTAAGTTTCAAGTAGTCTAAATAACGGTGTATATTGCCGTAAAATTTGTAATGATTCGATTGCTTTTTAACGAATACTTTCTAGCATAAGTTATATTTTTAAAAGTATTTATAAAAATATTAAATTTATAAAATAAGATATCTACGCCTATGGCAGATCAAACAAAATTGTCTGTAAGGGTTCAATAATTTAATTTATTTAATTTCAATAATAAAAACGGTACACCCATGTGCGCGGTCCCTTTGAAGTCGGCGCTAATCGGTTATTATGCCGTGTTGCATTGTATCTAGAAAGACTATAATAATTCATTGTAGCTATTGTCATTTTTTGTTTTTATCCATTTTTGAGCATGTTTTTTATTGGTGACCAATTTTTTTTATTTTATCAATAACTACATGACAAAACGAAAAAAATGAAGAACTGTGTACGATCATTTTTCACCGTAGAATTTCTTTAAGTGTTTTTTTTATTTAAATTTTGTTTGCCTATTTAAGGCACACAAAGATATAACTTCACCAAATTTCATCAAAATTAAATAATTTTTGGAAAAAAGAAAAATAAAAAACAAAAAGAAATAAAAATTCGAACGAATTTTGCATTTTTATCAAAAATTTTGGGAATATACTATTTTTCACCCATTTTCAACCCCCTAAAACTTTACTTCAACGCCCTCCAGGTTGCACTTTTTTATTTATTATAGGTCCCTCTATCATTTACACCTGTTAACAATTTTTTTTCTCAGAGTTTAATTTGATGCCTTACAGATAAGTCGTTTGTTGTTTTAATTAAATTTAAATTAGTCGTGGATAGAGTATGGTATTCCACTAGCCTGTAATCGCTATTATTTGTCAAATAATATTTTTTTTGTGTGTCTTTGGCATCAATTACTTTGGTTATTAGCCCATAGTTCTGTGTGGACTTTAGAAACAGCACTTTTAATTAGAATGTAACAGTGAATGGTTGAGTGGGGAATCCACCTAAGCTTTAGAATTAATATTTCATTCATTAAATTAAATTAAATACTGTAACCGGTAAGATTTGAACTTGAAACCCTTCGATCTCAAAGTCATGACTGACCACTGAGCATCAACAGATAATATACTATTAATAAAGAGAATAATTCGGTACGCCTATGCATATCAGGCAGTTGAAAGCAAATCGGTCGAAGAGGGTTTTATTCAAATACATATTAGATAAAGTATAACCACAGCTTATACAATATAGCTCCACAACTCCGTGTCGGCGTCTTTGATGTGGTGGTCGAGAACCAAGCGAGACGGAATGGTGCTATCTCTGTTAGATTGGAGGGAAAAGTCGGGCCCGGATTAAAAAATATATTTATTATTGAAATAATTGAAGACCTTGGCGTAATAAGGTTGGTTACATGCCACATTAAGTAAGTTTTGAGAAATTAAGTTTCAAATTTATTTTAAATCTGTCAAATATAAATAAAAAAATTATTTAAATATAAATATTACGTATCACACCACATCTTTCGGATTAGAGATAAAATAATTTGTATGTGGCTAGTAATATCCTTGCTAACAGATGTTTTGAGCTAAAACAGTCACTTCATGACAAATTGTGGCCGTGGATACAAATCAAGTGGTACCCCGTGTGTCTGGCAAGTGTCACTCATCGCGCAAAGGGTTTATAGTGTTTATACCTAGATAAACGACTGCTTCGACTGACTGAGGTCTGAGAACTCGATGATATTCTGGGTTATTATAAAGAATCGGTAACTTGTGCTTTTATATTAACAATATCGGTTTTATTTAGATGTATTTTTATACATAAAGATTTGTAGAAGTAATAATTTAACAAATTTTATTTATATATTATATTTTTATCTGACCGTACCGAAGTAGAGAATTTTGAAACTTGACAGTAATGTGAAATTTAAATTACAATATTATGCGAAATTATATAATTAGTACCTATTTTAGGTAGGTACTAAATTTGTACTTGGAGAAAGTAATATCGATTTTTACAAGAAAACTCGAAAAGTAAATTAATTTAGTTCCTATTTATTGATGTAAACATTAAACCAAGAAAACAAATAGTAGTTTGTGCAACAAGAGTGGATATGGACAATCCACTCGAGTTGTACAGTATATTTTTTCTACGACCCACTGACGAAAATCTACAAATTAAAATAAATTATTTTAGGTTATTTAGAAAAAAATAACTAATTTTAAAAAACATTATGAATTTTAGTAATTTATAAAATAAACATAAAAAAAATATTCAATTTAATTTAATTAGTCCTCGGCCTAGATTCGATCCCGGGATTTTCGCGTGGAACGCAGATGGTCTGTCCTCATCTTCACCGACACTTTTAGGATTTTAGTTTTATTATTCGTAATTAAATTAGTATCATGTAGATTGATTAAAATTTAATTTTTTTTTCATTTTTTTAAGTGTTCTCACTACCTAAAATGGATATGAAATATATTCGTTTAGTTGAACACAATAACATACTTTTTCGTTTTGTAGTCTGTGCGTAGAATATCCATGTGGGCGTAGAAAAATTATTTTGAATAGAATCAAATTTACTACTTAAGGTTTATTTGACGCGGACATCAATTCTTTGAAGGTTATTGCACATTATTTTTTGGTGAGTAGATACAACTTATGCGGTCAGTTTAAGACATGTTTCAAAACACTCTGTATAAAATAAACCCGTTCTATCACCACTATTCGTTAGCTTAATATCTTTTAAGCCTGTATATTAAACAATTTTGAAATCAATATAAACCTACCTAAATTAGGATAATTTAATTTGGGGTCTGCATCATTCTCTAATTTAAAAAAAAAATAATTTCAATATTTTACTGTAATATTTTTTAATTTATTCTAGGGTTAAATACTGTATTACCAAACCATTCTAAAAAAAATAAAATCCAGGGTGTTCCATTTAAAAAACATACATTTTGATTTGCCAGACAAAAACGCGACACCTTGTATATCCAAAAATATTTTTAAAATATGTATTTTTCAAATCCATATAACTTTTAATTAAAACTTTTTTGGGTGTCTACAACACAAATTGAAATATTGAACAATTACGCAGTAATGGGACACCCTGTATAAATTATGTTATTAACTATGAAAATTTCTTATAATGTGGCTTTTTCCGGTTTAGGTCCTTGGGAAAATGAAAGAATATTTTCTTGCAGGTATAACCCTTATTAAAACAGCTTTTGACTCCACAAACAGAATGATGTCTTTTTTTCACTCATTTCACTCACAGCTAAATTATACGCACGGCTCAATACCTTATCTAAGTACGCTTCTAAACGCCAAAGTCGTCTTTTCCCTCCGAAGGCGGAGCTTAAGCGATGCGCGACGGAATCGACGCAAACCGTTGCCGCCAAGAGAGTGTTTTAGCTGTATTGTATAAGCTGTGGTATAACTTTCACGAGAAATAGCTTTAGAACCTAAATTAACCCTTGTTGGATACCCATTTTACACTAAATGATTTTAGAGGTACAAATCACACATCCGCTAAAAAAGCGTCACAATTTAAAAAATCCCATTTTTGAGATAATTCCATATATCGATCAGAAATTAAACACCTTACCTTCTAAAGGAGCATTTTTTTTATTATTATTTACTAATCTTCATAAAAATTAGATGTAATGCCTGATATGATCTTTAAACAGTTTTTTCTCGAAACTATTTTTTTGAGTTGTGACCCTTTTTAGCGAGTGTGCAAAATGTCGTTTGATTTTGGAGAAAACGGTATAGGGAGTTGTAACTTACCTCATACTTAAACATGAAATTATTACAATGTCCATCAAAATGAGCAATAACAACTGGATCAACACTAGCATGTACAGTTTCTCTGATTTTATTTGTAATCCCCGGTGCCAACAGCTTTTCTAACTTATCCGCCAAGTCATCTCTATGGGATTCACGCAAATTTTCGATGGCAAAAGCAATTTTTTTGTCAAACAACTCTTTACATGATGTCAAAATATTATCATTTATTGGAAAATGTTTGGCTATTTCATTAAAGAGTTCTTCATTTTTATTCCTTAGAGCCAATGATAGAGCGTGAAATTTGGCTAAGTTTTTGAAAACAATTTTATAATGTTGCAGGTTCATTGTTAAATCACGTCTGTGCAATTCGTATCCACGTTTTGATAAATTTTCCAAAATTATTATCTCTATTTTATCATCAACATAAGTTTTATAACAATAAGGTACACCAAAAAACTTTTCAGCAATGCCTTTTTCATTTTGAAAATCCTCCAACACTTTCATTACCTTATCGTAAAAATAAATCTCTTTCATATAAACCTCTTTGATCATCGGGAGTTGTCTTAGAGTTTTTTTTCCAAATTTGATAGCCAGGTTCAATTGTTTGTGTTTTCTGTCGGCCCCTGCTAGAGTGATTTTAGCGTAAACCATGTCTGAAGTGTATCCCTCAGTTGCCGAATTTTTACCTTCAAGTTCCACTCTGAAATCGATGTAATCATCTGCTTGCAGAGATTTTCTGATCCATGATACTATTTCGTGCGTTTGCATGATCAAATTTTGTTAATCACTTAATTCACAATGATTACACTTTAATTTTATAAACATGAACCACGTATTTCTAGGCGATTTTTACTAATGTTTGACTAAACACTACCACTAACAGATTGGAAATGGGGTTTATTTTATAATACCTACATCTACATGTTGCAAATGTTCGATTCCACTTGTGTTATCGTCACATTGAATAATGTTACGCAACATTCAAGGATTTTGTACGTCAGTAATAGGCCGGTAAATAGAGACATAATAATTAACATTAACAAAAAAAAAATAATATAAGATACCTAAGTAAAAAACAAAAAATAATAGCTATTTGTGAACTAAGAGCAAAAAATGATACTTTGCCGCTCGAGATAAAAAGTTGGCCGCATGACGCGTAGCGGAAACGCACAAGATTTTTTCTACGATCACTTTATTTTAATAAATAAATATAAAAACTGAAAATTTGTCGTGTAAGTATAATGTGTTGCCTACATCTAAGTTAATCATGAAAAACGGAGTTGATATTCAAAGACAAATAGCTTTGTCCCAACATCTCACAAAACCGTAATATTACGGTCATCGTCATGCAGTAAATAAAAACCGTTCGACTTTGGGCTTTATTGATAGGTTTTTATTTACTGCGCATGACGATGACCGTAATATTACGGTTTTGTGAGATGTTGGGACAAAGCTCTGGTTACTGTGGGGTCAAGGCCGTAGCCTGAAAATAATTTCGGGGGGGGGGGAGGTGTTTGATTTGGTGGAATAGTAGAAAAAACAAAATCGTTTTAATAAAAGAAATAAAATGGTGTTACTTATCATATACATATATGCTATAACTCCAAGTAGAAGATATTTTTAAATTTTTAAAAATTGTTATCAAAAAAGTGCGTGAAGAAAGTATAATTTATTTTCTTCCACTTTCATAAATAAGCGAGATAATGCCATATAATGAAAATTTTAAAAAACGAACTTTTGTTTGTAACTCGAAAACAAAAGACAATAACCAATTTTTAAAAATGCCATTAAATTTTTCTCAAAAATTGAGAATTAGCTTGGGAGGTAAATTTTCCATGCCATTAATAGTTAACGAGATTCTCTATTAAAACATCTAAATTTGCCAACTCTGTACATGACCACTCGTTGAGTATGTATGTCTCCATCTATGAACGGGGACGGGACCCTTCAGGGTATCTTTTCTTGAATCTTAGGGAGGGAAGAGCAGGTTTTCTATTTTCTTGAATTCAAGAATAACTACTTTGGACTGTTGGGGTTTGGTCTGAGGCAGTTTAAAGTCTTTTGAGTTTTACCATGCTTTTACCCAATACAGTTACTTCATAAGGCCATCATCAACCAACATAATGCTGGGCCACTATCAAAAGGCCAAAAATAGGTTTTTGTCTTTTAATAAATCCAGCAATATGCTGGTAATTCATTGTTGAGTTGCTTTTCTGACCATCGTGTCCATAAAAAAGATCAACGCAAAGCTCATACATTAGAATTCTGACACAAAATGGTTTAATAAAAATTAAAAACTCTCTCACTACTATTGACTGGACTACTTTTCAATCATTCAGCGATGTAAATTTCTTATCTTCCCTTCTTATTAATACAAAATTGTTTTTCTATGAAAAAGATGAAAACAAAAACCAGAAAATAATGAGGAACCTTAAAGGCAATGAGAGAAACATTAACTTATAAAATTGTGGCTAATAATAATAAATGAAGAGGCAGAACATATTGCAACACATTACAAGAAATGTTACAATCCACAATTAAAAAATTGTAAAAAAAATTCAAGTGGCAATTTTATTCTTTCTTATTATTAAATAATCTAAGGATTAAAACCAAAATTTCAGCAGTTACAAACAACTTATCGTGTGATAATTTTAATGATTTTTTTTTATGGACATTACTGAAAACATCACTAAGTCACTTCCATGAGTTTCAAATATGTAAGTTAGTGTATGTATACAGGGTGTCCCGAAATTAGACGGTCATATTTTAACAGCGTAATCTACATCCTAAAATTCATGAACAGATAGGTCCGAAAACGTTTTGTTTTTGAGATACAGGGTATTACAAGTGCAGTCCTCTAAAAGGTGCGATTTTTAACAGACGACAAGCAGCGACACAGACGTTCAGTATCAAAATAGAGGTGGAAGAAGTAGTAACGGTGTTGTTTTATTCTGTTCGTCGCCGCCGGCGGAAAAAATTGAAACGACGTAGGTACTGGGTTCATTCATTATTGATAGACCCCTATGTCAAAGGCGCATTTAATTTATTACATAAGGATTTACGTCAACACGAAGATAAGTTCTTCAAATATTTCAGAATTAGAGTAGTGTCACTTGACGAACTGTTAGCGCAGATTCCCGAACAAATATTTTTTTCGCTATTTTATTTCAATCAACTGTTGAGGTCGGTCTTGAATATCGGATATAAATTCATCTATATCAATACAACTGTCGGACATTTTTTCACTGGAACTGTCGAAAAGTTAACAGGAAACTCCAACTCTCAACTGGCGTTTCGCACGCGACTTGACGTTTGTATGAGTGATGTTCCATATGAATCCATGATAACGCTTGCCGCGTGCGGCAGGAAAATCGCGGGCTTGTCATTTCTAATTTTCAGCCGCGTGTGATCACGCGACAGAACCGCGTTAATGGGCTTTGAGTCATTTAAAAACATCTAAAGTATTGCCGCGCGCGATGCCTCGCGATCAGCCGCGTGCGACGTGTCTTTCCCTCTAAGAGAGAAAGCCTTCTTGCGCGTCAAGAGTGTAGATGTATTTAAATGGCCCAAAAAGCCCATTACCGCAGTTCTGTCGCGTGGTCGCACGCGGCTATAAAATAGAAATGACAAGCCCGCGATTATCTTGCCGCACGGGGCACTCATTAAAGACGTTCAGTCGTGTGCGGCACGCCGATAGAGTTGGAGTGTTCCTGTTGGTTGTCCTACAGTTTCACAGTTTTGAAATGACCTCTGACGATGTCAATGATTTAGATGCATTTATATACCTGCTGTTGCATAACGTGCTGTAAATACTTAAAAACCATAGTCCTGAGCTCATTTCAAGAAGAAAATATTGTATGAACAAATATCCAATTCCCAGCTATAATCATTCAAAGATCAGAAGATACATTAACGTAGTATGTCAAGTTTTTAACATTTTTGGTCGTTTGTTAATCAACAATTATGAACGTCTGTGGACTAGTCAGTCCTACACTTGTCAACTTCGTTTTTGTTTGTGATACTGTTATACTTATGGATTTTGTGATAAAAATTCGCGAACGTGCCGACAAGTTCTGATTCACCAAATGTTCAGTGGTGTATTTCGACATATATGAACATAAGTTATCCTCTGATCTATGAACACTGTTTTTCTGCGTTTTTATTAACATGCGTTATGAGCGCTTTAAAATGGTATGAAATTCATAACCAGCGTCAGCAAGCATCAATCGTAGGAGGCTGTGATCATTGTATTTTGACAGTTCAAAACATTAAATAACTCGCGTTTTGTTGCGATAAAGAATATTGCACAGCAAGTAAAACCAACAAAATTACCTATTTGTTTAAAAATGAATCGATTTGAAAATCATACGCTATGCAAAATATGCGTGAAATTGTCTGATGTAATGATCAATCATTGCACCATGACTTACTTACTCGGATTAATAGAGGATTGTGGCTCCAACTTGAAAAACGAAAATTTGTTCCGAATTGTCCACGAATATTTGCACCTAAACTACGCAAAATTCAAAGTGCTGAATGGAAAAAAGGTGAATAAATTAGTGTCTAAATATTATATATATTTTATTAGACATAGACACATAATTCAAAGCATCCAAAGTCCTGCATTTTCGCCATTAAGAAGAAAAGAAGTGGCTGAAGAATATAGAAAACACCTTAGCATTGTAACTAAAATGTATCAAAACTAAACCTATTATGTGAACAAATAAAAACCAGTCTGTCAAAAATGGTCTGTTATTGTAAACGTCAAAAAATTTCCAGTATAATTCGCTGTTGGGTACCCCACGAGAAAAAAATTTCCACTAAAATACCTCCGTTGCCATGGTGATCTGTCAAAAACACGTATTTTGATTGGTTCAAAATTACAGGTGTGGAATTTTCACAGCAATTACATTTTTGTAGATATATTAAACTTCACTGATTATGAAATGGTAAAATAATACTGTATAATAAAAGAGAAAAGAATAGCAATAATACTCTATCACATTTTGTAAGGTATTTTTATTTTACAAAATTTATATAATAACAAAATATTTATAAAAATCAAAATAGTCCAGTAACTGAAGGGACCAACCTGTCATTAAGTCGGTCCAGATTTCCGTTGTGGCCCAACTCTTAGTTCTCGGCGGTCACTTCCAAGGTCGAAAACTTTTACCAACTGTGCTGCGTCGGAAAGGGCCCAAAATGGATCCTAGAACTGGCTTCCCGCCAATATCTTCCACAATATCCAAATTAGAGAATTTTTGTTTAGATAAAAAAGAAAGATCTTATCATTATCTACAAAAATGGTCCCTATCATTTTTGTCGGGAATTCGACAAGTTTCGAGATAACCGCAATCAAAAGTCCCTCGTTCAGCTCCTGCTTTATCTCTATAGCAATGCTGATTAGCTTGTAAACGGGTGGACAAATTGTTTCAGAACTCGGTCAAAAATTGATATTTTTCGATGATTCAAAGTTCATTACAATGGGAAAAGCCATAGGTATCGATCCATGTGCCTTGAAGCCCATTATTTTCTGTCAAGAACATTAAAAAAGGGGTCAAAGTTGCTTTTCCTACTATTTTGGACCACTTTATAGTAATTCATTCATATTTTTTTCTTTTAATAGTTTTTTTTATCCCATTTTTGTTTTAAATGGGATCTTGAGATGTCTCGAATGATCTCAGAAATGTTTTTCCAGTATATTCCTGGCGTTTTAAAACAAAATTGATTTGTTCATTTGCATTTTTCATACGTTTTCGGAGTTCTAGAAATCTTTGAAACAAGCAGTAATTAAAAACTCATATTTCATTATATTGTTATTCAATTCACACCATTTTAAAGCTTAGAGTGTCTACTTTTTGAATGTATTTTTTTTTTTTAAATAAAGTTGCTCAATTTTCCAGAAATCGGGAAAATTGATCACACCGGGGAAAACCGGACTTTTTTTTTTAAATACTTCTTTTTCCCCGCTGTTAATTTTTTGAACATTAATACCCAGACCGAAGTGAAGCTGATATTCTCCCCTTTCCATTTCTATCAATTGATCCCCCCGTATGTGAGCGTGGTTCTTAACTTTTTGTTAGAATTATCTCCCCCATTTTTACGCTCTCCGCCTGAGATCTATGATATTCCATCATAACCTAACCACGTGTACCCACGCTGCTTCTGTTGGTATATAATCTCTGTTGTTTTTGGAATCGTTATTGTCGGTTGTTATATATTTCTTTCGTATATTTAAAGAAAATTCACGATTCTGGATTCGAGTAGTACAATAATAAACAATGATTACTTTTCTTTTCTATATTTAACACAAAGTTAAAGAATATATATCGAAGATTTGGGGTTGAGGTAAGTCTTTTGTTGCTATATCTATCATATAATTATTTCTACTAATGTTATTCTTTTTTTTTTAGGTTAAAACAAACATAAAATAGAAAGCCCTTTAGATACAGAGCTTTTAGCGGCACTTCTAGAAGATTTGCTTTACAAAGTGAGTGTAAATTACCAGAAAAATTAATGAAATTAAGTGTAAAAGGGATCCGGCCCCCCCGGAACTCTTGAAGATGATTTTTTGTCAGTGCAAGACAGGCTGCGAGAAGAATTGTTCATGTTTGAAAGTCGGACTGAAATGCTCGCCTGTCTGTGGTTCGTGTCAGTCGACACAGTGTTTTAATTATAACAAAAATGAAGGTATTTTTCCCGGAAGAATTAGAGATGGATCGAGACCTAGAAGGGGTTGAAGGGGAGGAGGATGAAATAGCTGTCGAGACAGCAACACAGGGGTTGGAAAAACAGGGGGAAGGGACGCGTGGAGGAGGGGAAGGAATAGAGCAAGAGCAAGACGATGAAGAGTATGATTCTGATGACATTGAATGGTTTAACGTATGATAAATTATAAGCATTGCTATGTATTTCGTATTTTCAACATGTTTTTCATAATAAAAGAAATTTTTCAGAAACTTTCTTATTTTTCTGAAACCCTGGACCTATATTGTTGCGATAGAAGTTGGCGAAAATTTTGCAAAAGACGCAGAAAATATAAAGGGTCTTCTCGGGTCAATATTCATTACACTCTAAAACTAATAACCCACTATTAGGGAAAGCGCCGGGATTTGAGACAGCCACATGAAAAAAAAATTTTTTTGCACTTTTCTATTAAATTTTGCAACGCAAATTACACAGAACATTCGGCAATATAGATAAGACCCCCAAGCGCTACTTTACAGAAAAAATCCCGTAGAATCCGCCAATAATTGTCGAAAGATCGATTGGTGCCCGGATTTCCATTCATAGGCCCCATAATTTAGTGAGCAGAGGTATGCCGTTGGCGCCATCTACAATTGGTCTCCAAAGTCCAAAACATGAAAATCAACGTATTCCCAACTCCCTCGAGCGGAAATTCAATGAGAAACTACATTTCTATTCAGCGCAAAAATTCGGGCTTTCTCGAAGGCCGTTTTTGCAAAAAATATTCGTCTTGCGAAAAAAATGGTAGGGACCATTTTTTTAGATAATGATACGATCTTCATTTTTTATTTTAACAAAAATTGTCTAATTTGTATATTTTGGCAGATATTAGCGGGAAACCATTTTTTCGGACTTTAGAGGATATTTTGGGCCCTTTTCGACCCAGCAGTGTTGGTAAAAGTTTTCGCCCTTGAAAGCAACCGTCAAGACCTAAGAATTGAGCCACACCGACCGACTTAATGACAGCTGTGCATATTTTCAGGTCTTCAGTTACTGGACTAAAATGAACAAAACTGTAAAAGTAATAAAAACAAAAGAACGAAAAAAAAAGTTTACACCACTATAGGGTTTTTTAGGGAAGCTTAGTAAAAAATTTGCCTCAAGATTTTAGGACATAAAATAAAACGTGAATATTTTTAATTTCAGTCGTCTGGACGTTCTATAAATAAAGAATGAATCCAATACCTACGTTTTTTTTTTTTTTTCGTTAACGAACACATTAAACAACACCGCTGTTACTTTTTCCATCTCTATTTTGTAATTGAACGTCTGTGTCGAATCTTGTCGTATGTTTAAAATCGCACTTAAAAAACCGCGCGCGGCCGGTCGCGTGCGACATGTCGTGTGAGTGGGTTTTCTGCCTTAGCTCGATCGCGTAGCGCGTATCCAAGCAAAATATAGAATAGTACACTATACTAATAAACAGTTTTTGTGGTTTAATGACTTTTATTGGTTTTAATTATCCCTTACCTCAACATAGATATTTAATTAGCTAAGTCAAATGATAAAACCGTGATAAGGCAGTTCGTATAGTATCTTAACTTATTCAACTTGGCATTTCGCGACCATTTCGTGACGCTGGTTCATTTCTTTTTTTTTATTTTGAAATAGGTATATGAAAATTGTAAAAATACTACTATTGTTAAAATAACCAAAAAAGGTTGACAGCTGTGTGCACGTAGTTTAGATTCAAAAGGAAAAACTTTGTGGAAACGGTTAAACAACTTGAACCAAAATGAATAGAGAAATTTAAATTTGAAAATATTAATATTAATAAAATTATGATTTAGCAAGTTGTAAATATCCCGAAATATATAATTTTGGGAGTGAGGATGACCAGGAACTTGTTGGATACGTTGTGGACAATGAGCATTGATGATGGCAAATAAGCCGAAAGCGCTTTGCATTGATTAATAAAAAAGTTTTGCACGAAATACAAGTTTTTCCTTTTGGAACTACTATTGTTGTTTATTTATTTATTTATTTATTTAAAATACATGTAATTTATCATAATATAACCCCTAAAATATTCTTTTCACTATTGATTTTCAACTATTTTATAGAGAATTATATTACAAACAACTTTTACTTAAACAATTTTTATAAAAAATTATTTTTTTTTACATTTTGTCAAATTTATTGAATACGAACCATTTTAGGAAAATTTGGATGAAACACAAATTATAGATAATAATATTATAAGTAACTTTTATTTAAAAAATGTTCTTCTCCAAACGTAAATAACAGATATATTCCATAAAATATAAAAATGACCACCAATAAAGTACCGCTCCAGATGTTCCGACTCTGCCCAAAATATAATCAGTTTACTGGAGGCAAGAAGAAACCTAAAGTTTAAAATTTGGTGTTTTTCATTGTATCCGTTCATGAGTTATCGAGGATACAGACACATATACATACACACACATACATGCACGCACGCACGAACGCACGCCCTCACGCACACAGACAGACATCATCGCGAAAATAGTCAAAAACGGATTCAGGGGACCCCAAAACGTAAAAACCCGTCAAAAATTCAAGGTCGACAAAAATAATGATTCCCATACTTTCCTTATCTGTATACAGATAGGAAAGTAAAAAGTTTTTGTTCACGGTTGTTCAACTTATTTGTTAAAATGGAAAAATAAACTAATGAAAATCATTCATGTATTTTAATAATATGTTTCGTACCTAATGTTATTCTATCTTTATCTATGAAATTGTTTGAAAATGGAATTACAATATTTTTAATTTTGACAAAACACTATCTGTAAAACGCTTTAAAAATTATTCAATAAAGCATATAAAAAACAAATAAAAACCAGCCACATCTTGATGGAACCTTCATAGCCAGATTTCCTAGTTTTACATTTTTTGATAAAATTATTTTGTGGCCATAGGAAAAATATTCTATATCACTTGTGTGAAAGTGATTTTTTACACTCACCACTCAGCTTATGCCTTGTGCGACAATATTTCCCACTCGTGTGAAAAATGTCTCTTTCCACACTCGTATAAGATACTATTCCAATTCCAGTTTTTAAACATCACAATTACATAATGTTTGTTATACATTTTTTGTTCGATAATACAATAATTTTATAAATAATAATAATAATACAAATCGTGTGCCTTTTCTTTTAATCTATGTGACGCCCTTATTAAATTTACTTAAATTATTAAATTAGATATTTAAAATAATATAAATGTCTGTAAACATAAAAGTAGAACAGATAGATATAGCGTGAGAGACAAACCTTTGCATATTTAATGGTGAACAAAAAATATATAGCTGGAAATTCCAAACTTTAAAATATTATCTAATGAATGTTATTAAAATCTAAATAGTGTTCAAGAATAGCCACCAATCTCTCCAAATACGGGCCTCTATCTTTCAATGTAATATTCACAAGCTCTTCTATCGGTTTGTTTTCCTGAACAAGCTCAGGTGCTTCTTCGGATTCAACGAATAATATTTCCAAAAATGCTGTGGCAGTGTTGAAACCAAAGAACGAGTATCTTTTCCATTGTTTCCACATCGTCGAGACGGGAAACAGCTTGTTGACGTCGCTTCCAAGCTGGGACAAAAACGATGACAATTCACTATGGTAAAATTCCATTAATTCCGTAAAATGGGAGAATTCTTCTTTTGATGATCCAAGGTATAATAATAAAGACAGGTCGATCATTGGTGAGAAGACAAAGGATACTTGGAAGTCGAGGAACACCATATTTGAAGGGCTTTCTTCATTTTCATCCTAAAACAAAAAAAATTCAATGTATTGTAATGTGAGCCATTTCATTATTCAGTCATGCTCTAATACTCCAAGTCCCTCTCTGTATTATTTGGCCTTTGAGGCTCAACTTGTCCGCTTATTATACATAATTGAACCCCTTAAGACCAAACCTATGGGACGACTATGGTGGAGACACTTTCGCGAACATTCCAGGGTCAACGAGATACTATTTCTAGAACGTGATAACGTTTCTGGTACATACTGGCAATTTTGGTGGGGGAGCATTCTCGACCACCAATTTTGTATATAAATTGGTGGAGGCGAGCCATCATAATCAGTAGTTATATGGACAATGCAGATAAATAGTAATTAGTAGATAGACAGTGGTGAATATAAATAGTGATCAGTTTAAAGACATTCGAAGTATACAGGGTGTCCCAAATTGTTTTACCCATGCTGTAACTTCTAAACCATGTAAGATAATTGAACCGGACAAAAGTCATCCATTATAGTTGGCAGTGTACTTTAAAACAAATAAAAATTTGATGACCCACCCTCAAAAACTACCCCACTGGAACAACCCCCTCAAATATTATTAACGAACCCTAATTTTTTTTCTGCTCATTTTTGTAATAGCTACTTTTCTCTGTACAACTGTTTTTAAAATTTTGAAATCGCTCCATAAATAACTGAGATTCGTTATTTTTTTCATTTTCATCAAGTTGCTTGCTGTCAAATTCATGGTAAGTTTTTTAGCGCATTATAAACAATACTATATCAATCTGTCTCTTGTCAAACAGAAGTGCACTCGATAAAGTTAGTAGTTTTTACTTAATAAAGTTTGCAATAATTTAGAGTTTGTCAAGTCCTAACAAATTATTTCAAAATGCCTAATCTGTTTAGTTCCAACGAGTACACCAATATGATAATTATTTATTTATTGTTAAGGTTTGACAAATGTGTGGAAGTGGGAGGTGGGCAATTTGAGCACTTATTATAAGTTATTACTACTCTTTGTTTGTTGATATTTATTTCTTGTCTTCTCCTTCTCTTGTTTCAATGTATTTTTTTAATTATGTGTCACCTAATAAAGTATTTTTTATCATCAACTTGACATACAGTTTTATTTAATTTCTCACTTATTTATGGAGCGATTTTAAAATTTTAAAAACAGTTATACAGAGAAAAGTAGCGACTACAAAAATGAGCAAGAAAAAAATTAGGGTGTCGTTAATAATTTTTGAGGGGGTTGTTCCAGGTGGGTAGTTTTTGAGAGTGGGTCGTCAAATTTTAATTTATTTTAAAGTATACCGCCAATTATAATGGATGACTTTCGTCCGGTTCGATTATCTTGCATAGTTTAGAAGTTATAGCCTGGGTAAAACAATTTGGGACACCCTGTATATAAATTAGAATAATTGTGTTATAAAATAAATAAGTGTTTAAATAAATTATTAATAAATAAACTGTTGTTTGAAAATAAACAAACATCACAGTATATTTAATAATGTTAGGTATTTTTTACAGTCCCATAGTTAGTTTATTTCAGTCTATATTATAAAATAAAATAGAATTCTATGAAATATTTAACTTCTTGTGTCACATTGTATAATAGGGATTTTATTTATATCTGTAACCCTCAAAATTCTATCACCAAATCACCCTATTTAAACCTAGTTATCTTTCTTGTTCTCCGATTAATTCTTTTTACGTATTTAGTGGCATTATCTAAAATGAAACATTCACATTTTCCCACTTCTTTAAAAAACTAATTACATTTTTCCATTTTCCTTCATTTCAAAAAAATATGCATCCTTTACCAAATATTTGACTTTTCACTATCACTTCTAATCAAATTGCTAATAAAATCCGTTGTCACAACTTTCAAATAGCTACTTGTCCTCACTGTTCCGATTATATTCTATTTTTCTTTGCCCGGCTTGTACATATGATAGATTCTAGCTACTTCTTTTGCTATCTGTTAGTCCTTTTCTCCTATATGATTTTCACGGAACATTAATAATAACACTCTTTCTACTTGTGAATCAATTCACCAATAACCTTTTACAACATTTCCTTCTCTTCACACCTGTGTACTGTATACTGAGCAACAAAGGTACAAATAAAACTGTACATCGTATAAAACATGGGATTATTATAGTGACTGTTAAGAGTAAATTTCTGCAGAACTACATCTTCAATGGAGGAACACGTGGTACTAAATGTTTTGCAGGCATAAAGTGAAAAATCTGATGTGTCCAACACATGACTTTCCTATCTAGTTATTATAGGCTTTTTCCGGTTATTTTGTACAACCTATTGCAGCATCTCTATAAATGTTTAGAGGATAAACTAAATATATACATTGTCCACATACATCTACCTCAAAACATTTTTCTATAGATATTCAAAAAAAACGAAAATACTGAAAAATTAAAATTTCCTACAATTTTTTCATGACGGTCCATTTTAGAAAAATCATGTATAAACAAAAATTATAGAGATCGATATCGCAAACAACTTTTATTTCAAAAACTTTCATAAAATTCAGAATTTTGCACATTTTTTCAAATATCTCGAATACGGACCATTTCAGGAAATTTTTACATAAAACAAAAATTATAGATATTAATATTAGAAGTAACTTTTATTTGAACAATTTTTTTCTCTAAACATTAATAACAGATATATTCCATAAAATATAAAAGTGGCCTCCCATAAAGTACCCCCCCAGATGTTCCGACTATGTCTAAAATCTAATCATTTCACGTCAGGCCGAAATAAACCTTAAGTTTAAAATTTAATATTTTTTTCTTTATCCGTTTTTGAGTTTTCTTCAAAATTCTAAATTTACACATTTTCTCAAATATCTCGAATACGGTCCATTTTAGAGAAATTATGTATAGAATAAAAATTATAGAGAATTATATTACAAACAACTTTTATTTGAACAATTTTTATAAGAAATTATTTTTTTTACATTTTGTCAAATTTCTCGAATACGGACCATTTTAGGAAAATTTTGCATAGAACAAAAATTATAGATAATTATATTAAAAGTAACTTTTATTTGAAGAATTTTCTTCTCCAAACGTAAATAACAGATATATTCCATGAAATATAAAAATGACCACCTATAAAGTACCCCCCCAGATGTTCCGACTCTGCCCAAAATCTAATCAGCTCATAAAACGCTGGAACAAAGCTTAAGTTTAAAATTTGGTGTTTTTCTGTGTATCGGTTCATGAGTTATGCGTCAAAACGGATTCAGGGGACCTCAAAACGTAAAAATCCATCGAAAGCTCGAGGTCGAAAAAAATCATGATTCCTATACTTTCCTTATACAGATAGGAAAGTAAAAATATGTAATTGTAATTCTTTCAAAATTCTATAAACGGAAGAGCGACTTATTACAATGGCTGCAGCTTTTCTATGTGTACTCAGCTGTGGATCGATAATCATTTGGGTCAAAATATCATCCTCTTTATCTACTGCAATTAATCTAGTTCTTCTGATATCAAATTTGGACCAAATGTTCCCCCTTCGCCCAATCTGTCGTAAAGACATATAAAAAGTATATGCCCTGGTTGCTGTATATTAGGATACAATACTGAATATCGCCCAGGAACACCTCCACAAAAACTTTGTCTGTGCATAAATACAAATCATGTCCTTCATTTTTAATTCAAAAATTTTTTTGTAGTATGGCATTTTACAATACCTAATATTACTCAGTAAGAACACTGATAACCTATAATAAACTAATTTCACTAGATCGATAGTCCGGAAGTTTATTGTATAAAATGGATCAAATACATTTAGGAGACCTTTTCCTTAAATGTAATCTACTAATTGGCATATAACTAGTTCCAAATTTATAAAATCAATATTTTGCTTAAATTTATTAAGGTTCTTAAAAACATATAAACCAATTTCTATAACATATATTGAAGTTAGTGGCAAAATGCCATATTCTACAAATATTGGTCGACAAGAATCATATTTACCTATTATTCTAAGGATCTTCCTTTGAAGAACAAAAACGTCAGTCGAATCAGTTGAGTTTTCACATAGACTAATCCCGTATCTCAATCGACATGCTAATTGAGCATAATAAATACAGATTAAAGTTTCATGATCTAACACTTCTATTACATTTCTAAACAAGTAAGACAATATTAGTGATTCCAGAAATTTCACGCTAGTATCTGGCTAGTTCATTCCTAAATTGTATGTACAATGTCTGAGAAACCCCTTCTATACTTAAGAATCACATAAATTTCGTCTGCTTACCAGCAAAACACACTACGTCAGATTTGATGAAAAATCCATTAAGTCCCTTAATTCTATTATGGACTTAATGAATATGAAAATAATTTAAAAATAAGGTTACAATTAGTAGAGGACACAGTGGATTTTACCATGATATCTCTTGAGTTTTACCTCGTTTTTGTTTTGTCATTATCATTTTTCATTTAGAAGTTAAAATGGACGAGGTTACAATTTTCGTCCTCACTGTATATAATACATTCGTTTGTATTACCTTTTCTTTGACAATTTTTCAAAAAAACGCTTAAAAATTTTCAACTTATCTTCAAAAGTAACCTCAGAAAAGCAGAATGGATTAAATATAAGAAATGATTGTATAAATTTTAAATAAATGAAATGAGAAATATTTTCTCTTATAAATCACTATTTATAAAATCCGAATAATACAAGTATCATTTGTTATCATTAATAATAATACTCTTCCTAATTCACCCCCTTACGAGTGAATTTTAACCCCGAAAGCTGAGCTTGTGCGGGGAAAGGGACGGCTATTATTATTATTTGTCATGGCGCTCCGGGGCGACTTAAAGATGATTAATGGTGTCATTTGACTTACAGGTGAGGAAAACCCGGAAAACCTCACCCACCATCATAATACACATATATATTCGTCATCTTCCTATTCACCATTAAGAAGAGAGGATGGGTTAGAATTCCAGCAACATTTAAATCTTACTACGTTTATACATCCTAGGTTTTTTGAAATATAAATAGTTAATGCATAATAATTAAACAAATTTGTGTTTTCTGCTTTATTACAAGTAAGTTGTACCTAGACAAATCGTTGGTTTACAAGCAAAACACACTAAATCAATTTTTATATTTTTGACTTATTTAGGTCAGTTGACTGAATTTTTTCCACTCTATAAACGAGATGCACTTTACTTGAGACACGTAAGATAGAGGGAGTTACTAGCTTTAAATTTTCTAATGTGATACCTCATTTGAAAGATATTTTCTATATTTTTACGTTCATGTAAACAGATTTGGGTTTTTATGTTTTTACAGAAATTATATTAAATAAATTCATAAAGCAGGTTAAATTCTTTTTTTTTATTTACCGCTTCAACCTCAAAGGATCATTACCTTATAAATGCTGTTTTTTACAATAGTATACAATGAATAGTTAACATTTTGGCTAGTACAGAGTAAATGTTAGTATTTTTTTAAATTTAAGTAATTTTTTATTTTTAGAGGGATTTAACAATGCACAAATGGCAATTTTTTGTAGCTGGTACTTTGTTCTTATACAGACATGTTCTGGGCCTTTACTAATAAGTAACATTCTTGATAACTCTCGTATTAACTATTCTTGTTTACAGTGACGGCTCGTGCTCACTAGCGGCAGTGGGGCACACACTGGAAAGAAATCCCGGGATTCGTTTTTCCCTTAGGAAAACAAGTTCTCCGCTTAATGAAAATTAAATATATTTTAAAACAATCAGTTGGGGCAATAAAGATTTCTGAATGTCACTACAAGGAGCTAAATGTGACCACTCAAAATGCATTTAACTATGTATGTGGCTATTTAATCAAAAATTCATTACATATCCACTCTTTCGAAATTTGCGTAAATTTCTCAGAAGAATGCAATTTACTTAACAATTCTAACTTGTTAACACATTTTAAAGCATACGACTCTGAAGAAAAGGTGTTTGGCAATTTAAAATCTCCCAACGAAAAATGTCTCTTTTATATTTTCAAATTAGAAAAATATTTATATCTCTATTTGATAGTTTGTCAACTAAGCCTGGAATTTCCCACGCATACCTTTTTGAGATGAGCAAAATAGAATTTGGTCATCCTTGCCAACAATTTGCGAAAATGTACACCATTAAATTATTTATAAGACTCGGAATTTTTTATACTCTTAAATATGCAAACAGAGATTTGAAATCCTCAAAAAAGTCAGACAAAACCAAAAGAAAAATTAAAATTTTGTCCCATTTATAAATATTATTGATTTTTTTTTCATCATATTTTTCTTTGTAGTTTTATTTATTAACTATTCCAATGGTTTCGCAATAACAATAAATACATTTTTATCATGGTCCAACAAACGCGCACCTTTATCCGAAACCTACATCGCCATTGTGAGGGAGCCGGTAAAGATGCCGCTGCGTACATTCGTATTCGTATCTGGTCATTGTGATCTGGTCTAGGTAATCTGTGCCATGGGTAAAGCCAATGAACTGGAGTGGGGTAGGCTTGTCAATAGGCTTGAGATGCGATTCTATGAGCGAAGACAGGTTATTTTTCATCTCACTCGGGAGTATTTATAACAACCAATTTCTATTTTACTTTGTTATTGTCTGATCCACCAGCTTGTGGATTGAACAATAACAATGTGAAACAGAAAATGGTTATTATAAATACTCCCGAGTGAGATGAGAAATAAAAATGGCTGCGCCCATAGAGTCGCATCTTGTTCTATTGATACAATATTCACATTGGCTTTATACCCCACTCCAGTTCATTGGGTAAAGTACGTCACGATGAGGACAGCGCCCTGATTGTGACGTATAACCTATCGCATGTGTTCATCTCTTGCTAAGCGATATTGTCGTTTGTCCTTGTTTTTCGCATCATAATGAAAGAGGAAACAACAGAGGCATACATTTACTGTGCCCTGTGCCCATCTTTCACTTAATTTCGGAATTCTCGGAACGTCGCTCAACGCCTGGTCGTCCAGTGTCGTGCCAACGCGGTGTGCGCTGAACATTAGATAAAATAATAATAGTTAACGCCCAATCTGGGCCACTTATTACTTCAAATTTCAATTGAAAAACGACTGTGACAGACGGACAGACAGAGAGACATAAGTGTTTCTTATTGTCAAATTTGGGTACTAATGCGCAAATTACTTGAAAAATTCCTTGTTTTTGTCTTACAAATTTTACCGTTTTTTCATGTTTCGTCTTTTTCAAATTTAAATTTGATATTGTTTTATCACGAGAGAAACGGGACGAGACGAGACAAGACAAAAGAAAGGCTCTCTCGAGCGAGAGAAGCGCCTTCTCGTCGAGACGAGACAACAGTTTTCTCTCGCCCTACGAGACGAGAGAGGCCACTCTCTCGTCTCGTCTTGTTTTGCGGCATTACTAATAGGAATTGCTTCCAGTTTTAAATTCGTCTTTCCCGACAAAATTCATAACAAAATCATAATTTAAACAATGTTTCCAATATATTTTATTGTTTTTGTTAATTTTATCAACCGTTCCAAATTCTAGGTTTTAAATTCAAATTTCCATTGCTTTAAAGTTTGTAGGAAACCTGCGTGAAAAATAATAATAATAATATTCTACAATATAGGTATACCGCCTATGTTTTTTATTTACTTATCTCTGAAATGACGTGGAACTTCTCCAAATATATATATTTTAGGGCTAACAATAGTAATTTTTAGATTTACAACTAATAAAATTTGCTAAAAAACATTCTAGAAACTATAAAACCTTTAAAAATATGCCCTGTGAATATAAAATAATACAAAATGTACAAACAAAACCGACAGTTCCCTAGTGCTTGTTGACAGTTGACAGGAAAAAGAAAAGTAATAGACAAAACGGTTCATAATAGCTTCAATCAGATCCAGACCGCTAGTTATCTATTATTCATTTATCTGAGGTTATAAGTTGTTAAAATGTGTCAATTTATAGATGTCAACCGACATACTAGCGGCATTTTTCTTTGTCTTTTGATTTTAGAGGCGGCTAAGATTCCATCGCGCTCATTATTATGTCGATGATTAATTTTGGTTTGGCTGACTAATTAATAATGTTCGTAAAAAACTGTATTACCTTATACTCGAACAGGAAGTTACCATTGTGACAATCTCCGTGCACAACCACTCTTTCATCAGGAGTATCGCCTAGTAGATCCAATAAAATGTCCACTACATTTCGTTCAACCAATTTTTCATACCTCTTTGCTAGATCACTCCTGCCCAACTCATTTAAATTGTTAATAACTTTGACAGTACCTTTTTCGTAGATTGGCTTAAATTCGGTAACTATTGGCGAAATCAAGTTATAGAATGATTCTTCGATTTTTTGGAAAATATCCGGTTTTTGATCACGAATAGCTAGTGATATCGCGTGGAATTTTGCATAATTAGTCAGCGCTAGTTTCATGTGATTGATGTTAATTGGAAGTTTCCTGTTGTGTAACACGTATCCCTTAATTTTCATATTTTCCTGTATTATAACTTCGGTATGTTCAGTGAGAAATGTTTTATAGCATTTGGGTATAGCTCGAAAAGGTTCTTTAACATTTTTCTCTTGTTGAAAGTGTTGGAAAATCGGCACTATATTTTTGTAAAACAACACTTCTCTTTGGCACAAATCTGACGTCAATTTTCGAATTTCTTTTGATTTTTTACTCACTTTAGCAACCAAATTTAGCTGTTTCCCGTTGTGATTCGGTTCATCCAGTGTCACTGTAGCAAACATTACGTCGGCTACGAATCCATCGCCTTTTTCTTTCATACCTTCAAGTTCAACGGTGCATTTTTCTGTCCCGGCGGCTTGTTTAAACCAATTTATCAAATCACTAGTGTCATGGTCCATCATTGTTGTTGTTTCAACCTAATCTGCGATAATACTGATTTTAATCGTTAACATAATATTATTATATAGTTTTCAAGCGTACTAGTTGGTGTAATAAAACGTAGTAGTAATGAATTGAAGATTATCCAAAATAGTATTAATAGGCCAGGTATAATAGGTAATAAAAATTATAGAGAAACTTACAACTAAGAGAGAAATTGATGACATGCATACAGCCGACTAATAGTGACACAACATCAAGTTTTAAGAGTTTGAAATTATTATGAGCTGTAAGTTATTTAAACAAAGATTATGTATATATATATAAACTCAAGGGATGTATCATCCCTAATAAAAATGTCTAAACTGCTTTTTCAATGGTTTATTTCACGATCAAGTATTCTCAATTACAATGTTGCTGTGGTATTGCCACTGTCTATTAGCGTACCGCTCACTGCCACAGACCATACCCTTTAAAGATAGGCCACTCAACAGTGAAAAATTTTACTCATCTTTCAGCGCCATCCGTAGCGGTTGCAAATAGTTGAGTTAAAAAAAAAGAAGATAACTAATAATTGAAAATTTGTTCAAGATTTATTATACAGGGTGTCCTTTAAAATGTGTCCCAAAATTCTCAGGCAGATTCCTTAACCAAAAAATGGAAAAAAAGTTCCTATAGACCTATGTCCTAAAGTACCCCCTAAGCGAGCAACAGCCTCTCGAAATCATTTTTTTTATTTTGATTTTTTGAATTTTCTTAAAAATGGAAACAAATAAAAGAACCAAATTTTGGCTGTTAAATATGATCAATAATAGTGACCTTTTGACACCTTCAAAAAGAAATTATTTCGTCAGGGGTGTACTTGGGAATTTTTTGAAAATTTTGATTATTCATAACTTTTTTGTGTTTTTGGTAATGACTTATCCATATTTTTTTTTACATTCTACATTGAAAACTACGTCAAAAAGGAATACTTGTTTGATCTCGATTGGAGCAGCCGTTTCCGAGAAAACATCATCCAAAGATATTCGTGCAGTTTAGGTTAATTTTCAATTTTGGCTGTTGTAGCCAAAAAGTTGGAAATCGAGGAACACGGCTTACATGTCCCTATCCTTACTTTTGAAGGTCTATTCAGTGGCAAAAAATATTAGTTGATACAGGGTGATCAAAAATCGGATGTGATTTTGGATTTTTGATCACCCTGTATCAAATAATATGTATTTTATGTCACTGAATAGACCTTAAAAAGTTAGGATAGGGACTGTAAGCCGTTTTCCTCGATTTCCAACTGTTTGGCTACAACAGCCACCTGAATTTGAAAAAATGTGATTTTTGAGTAGCTGTAGATCCTTTACTATTCATATTAGATAACAAGTGTGATATATCATTGAAATCAGATTATCGAGCAGATTCTAAAAATATAAAAATATACAGGGTGTTCCATTTAAAAAACATAACTTTGATTTGGCACGGCCTTATGAAACACCCTGTCACATCGTAACTAATTTTAAAATGTGAAGCTTAAAGCTGCCTACTTTTATTATAACAGATCTACAGAGCTTCCTCACACTAATCAATCACCCTGTATACTATTTTTAGCTCTCTAAATAAAATTTAAAAATTTAGTTCCCATTTATTTATTATGAAGACCATAAGGTTTGTATTTAGCTGTTTAGAATAAAAAAGTAAAAATATGTATTTTTTTGGCGTTTTTTGTGTTTCATGGATAATTTTTTTCGCTCACTGATAAAAATGTTTCTTCAGTTAAACATTATTTCTAAAAGTGTTCTGGTGCGATTCGTTGTATTGTTATTATTTTGTTTAAAATGGCTCACAATAACTACAATAATGATTACACATTCGGCGAAATGACGGACATGCACTTATGTTTTGGACTCGCTTCTGGAAATGCCAATGAAGCTCGCAGACTTTATCAGGAGCGCTTTCCAAATAGGCATCTTCCATGCGCTAAGACGTTTTCTAGAATTGACGATAGACTTCGGGAAACTGGTACATTTAAGAAAAACTCTAGTAACAGTGGAAGACAAAATTATGTGAGAACTCCTGCTTTGGAAGAAGCAATTTTGGATAGGGTAGCTGAAACCCCATCGACAAGTACCAGAAAAATAGCAAATGGTAAGTAATTACTTATTTATTATTTTAGCTACCCCGTACCTTATCGTATAAAACTAGTTTTTTTACTTGTTATTGCTTCTCTTATATTTCACGACTTTTCGTATCGAAAAGAGTTGCGTTATGCAGAAAAAATCTGATTTCCCAAATCAATGGATTCTCTTTCTTAACTATTCACTACACAGATTCTCTCATTTAATTTCAGAAGTGGGAGTCGGACGTAACACGGTATGCAAAGTTTTGCGTGAACAACAATTGTACCCTTACCACATTCAAAAAGTTCAGGCACTTAAAGCTACTGATTATGAGCCGCGAGTTATCTTTTCTGAATGGTTTCTTGGAAGATGTAATCAAGATGCAATGTTTCTTAATAAAGTGCTATTTACCGATGAAGCTGGTTTCACTAGAGATGGTATAATAAATTTTCGAAATATGCATGAATGGGCTGAAGATAACCCTCACGCGGTTGTTGAACGTCACCACCAGGATAAATTTTCAATAAACGTCTGGGCTGGAGTTATTGATAATTACCTTATTGGACCATTTGTTTTGCCGAATAGGTTAAATGGAGCAGCATACAGGCTTTTTTTGGAAATAACTTACATGAGCTTCTTGATAATATTCCGATTCAAATCAGACATAACATGTATATTTTTATATTTTTAGAATCTGCTCGATAATCTGATTTCAATGATATATCACACTTGTTATCTAATATGAATAGTAAAGGATCTACAGCTACTCAAAAATCACATTTTTTCAAATTCAGGTGGCTGTTGTAGCCAAAACAGTTGGAAATCGAGGAAAACGGCTTACAGTCCCTATCCTAACTTTTTAAGGTCTATTCAGTGACATAAAATACATATTATTTGATACAGGGTGATCAAAAATCCAAAATCACATCCGATTTTTGATCACCCTGTATCAACTAATATTTTTTGCCACTGAATAGACCTTCAAAAGTAAGGATAGGGACATGTAAGCCGTGTTCCTCGATTTCCAACTTTTTGGCTACAACAGCCAAAATTGAAAATTAACCTAAACTGCACGAATATCTTTGGATGATGTTTTCTCGGAAACGGCTGCTCCAATCGAGATCAAACAAGTATTCCTTTTTGACGTAGTTTTCAATGTAGAATGTAAAAAAAAATATGGATAAGTCATTACCAAAAACACAAAAAAGTTATAAATAATCAAAATTTTCAAAAAATTCCCAAGTACACCCCTGACGAAATAATTTCTTTTTGAAGGTGTCAAAAGGTCACTATTATTGATCATATTTAACAGCCAAAATTTGGTTCTTTTATTTGTTTCCATTTTTAAGAAAATTCAAAAAATCAAAATAAAAAAAATGATTTCGAGAGGCTGTTGCTCGCTTAGGGGGCACTTTAGGACATAGGTCTATAGGAACTTTTTTTTCATTTTTTGGTTAAGGAATCTGTCTGAGAATTTTGGGACACATTTTAAAGGACACCCTGTATAGATGGCGGTAGGGGTCAGTGAGCGCGGGTTTTTCAAACTCGGCCTTTCTAATAAACCACTACTAAGTTTTCAAAATTATAATTTTTCGTTCTCTTTTACTTAAAATGATTCAAACATTTTATTCTTCACTCAACATACTTAGATGGATATAATCCATTGGGTTATGTTCTGTGATAGATAAAATTTGAAATATTTTAAGTTAAAAAGAAAACGAAAAATTATAATTTTGGATTTGTGGAACAAAAAATACATCTTATTATGAAGTAAAACACGATTATAACCATATATTTTTTATTATTAGAATTAAAATTGCACGAATTCTTATTACAGTACACAATAATAAAGAAATGTGAATATAAAACTATTACGAAGTTCACCCATGGTTGTATCCACTAGAAGTTGTAACGAAAGTTCCTGGGGAAAGTTGGCTCTGGCTGCTGTTGGGTGTACTTGTCACTTCCTATTGCAGTGTTTGCTGATTCGTTTTCATGTAAAAAATGAAGAAGAGTATCAGTTAAAAAAATATAAAGTTCAATTTTATTATTTTTGTTTTGAGTCAATTCAGCTGAGCTATTAATTTATTAGCTAGTGAGAATGAATCGGCATTTCTTAAAAATATATCGTAGAAGATTTTTCAATAAAATGAAGGAAATTGAATTTAGTAAGAATGCAACTTTTATTAATTGGAATCAATAAATTGTGAAGATACCTAGATGAGGTAGGTCACAGTATATTGAGCAAAAAATAATAGGAGTCGCACAATATAAAATATACAATTATTGGTATGTTTGAAAAGTACCTCATTTTGAATTCGGAAAAAAAAATTGTATATAGGTATCTACTATAAAGTATCCATTACATATTGTATAATTCTAAAAAATACTAATAACACTATTTCAATCTTCTTAATATTCACATATTTTATATAGTTACTGAAATTGTATAGAAAATGATAAAAGTTAGGTTAAGATTTTTAATTTTTCCTAGAAAACATTAGGTTACCCGCATTATTTTGGAAATTTATTTCACAAATTGGGTACTTTTAAGTAATAATATATGCTCTTAAAATTTGGCAAAGTATTTAAGAATAAAATACAAAAATAAGTTTTTACTTGTAAAGAAATAAAATTGTAAATTTATTCTTTACCTGCGACTAACTTTATCCTGACAATCTGGATCAGCACAAGGACGAATTCGCACCATAATTATATATGTTTAAAGCTTTAAAAATTCTCTTCGAACAACTAACCTAATAAAACAAATCAACCATTACCATTATTGCCATTAATAGCGTTTTTTTTTTCTATGAATAGCTGTTGAAAGTTTTAAATAACAACTTGCGTACACTTGCGTTACTCTGAACCTGCTCTGAATACACTTTGAATCTGCTCGATGAATGCAACGAGCA